CGTTGAAGAAGAAGGGAGTTCCATTGTGGAAGTGGGCTATTGGGCTTAAGGTAGTTAGCTGAAAACGTCTCGTTAAACAGTTCACACATGTCTGCATGGTTGCTGTATAGTTTACCCTTGTTTATAAAGGGAGAAATTTTATGGCTTTGGCGATTCATTCGTTTCTTTAGGATTTCTGTGAGAGCACCTACTGTGGTGGTGCTGGCTAGTGCGGCGCATTCTTTATTTCTTATACGCAAGTTATGAGCTTGCGAGATGGGGCTAAGAGTACTAAGTATTGACCCTAGTGTACTAAAGTCGTGTCGTCTGAAGTAACTTGTTGACAGTCTCTTCAGTTTTGAGCGACCTTTTGGTTGAATAAATTGCTTCTTAAATTTTGAGACTTTTATTGTTTGCATTGGGATCACAGCGTCTAAGCATGTGTTGGAGTTATAGTAAATGATGTCTAGAGCTTTCGAGAGGTTATCAGTATAGAAGAACTCTCTCCATTCTGAGGATCTTAATATTGATTTCACTAGAGTCCGGTCTGCCTTACTGTAGTTCCTGTAAGTTATTTGTTGTGAAGTAGGGGTATGGGCTGCATTGCTACTTGGTGGAAGTGGCAGTGCACGCAGCACTGTTTTGTGGTCACTCCCTTAAAACTCAGAACCTACCAGGGTAGAAAGGGGACTTATATTGTGGCAGAAGATTAATTCTAGTACGTTATTACCTCTTGTAGGGGTTGTGATAGTTTGTTTCCAGCCAAATATATCCAGTGTGCCTAAGAACTTATCAAATTTAGTTGGGCCTGTGGGTATATCCCAGTTGATTTCAAGCAAGCTTAAGTCTCCCCATAAGATCTTATGATCGTATTGTAAGGTGGATAATTGCTCCAGAGTAATAATAAGTTGGGTCTCGTAATTACTAAAGGTGCCAGGTGCTCTGTAGGTGCAGCCAATTAAGTGTAAGTTAACCCATAGAGTCTCAGGCATGTTAAGTGTACTATTTTCTAGCTGTGATTCAGTAAGTGCATTCAGAAAGTACATGGGACAACCCCCTCCCTTACCACCTTCTCTGTCACATTGAAAGTGTGTGTAGTTACCTAAGCTTATCTCTTCATCCAGATCAAATGGCCAGAAAGAATAAGCAACAAGAAATTACGGGAACGAACCAACCAAGAGCAGAGCGTTCAACAAATATGCAGGTGATTATTGGCATTTTCTGAACTAGTCACTTGATAATTCTTGTGAGCAGGAAATTATCTGGAAATCCCATCGGTCGATTCAGTAGTCTATTCTGACCTTCAGCAAATCTAGTTTCACAGCCATTGCGCGGATATTTTCAGCAAAGGTACAGGCTTCAACGCAAAACCCTAAGTAACAACAGAATTGTCCTAAGTAGGTTTGTACCAGAAATGAAGTTGATGAAAGATTGATGCACTATTTAACAAAAACATCAAGTGATTGCAATACAAACCTTCTATTTTGAAATTATCTGGAGCCTAGATCCTGAGAACAATTTGGCTGAACACAAAATGTTTAGCAGTTAACAGTGTGCATTCAAACGGAGAAATATATGACAGCCCAAGATTAACTACAAAACGGTTTAATTTGCGTGAAATTGTAAAATAGCATTTAAAGTACAAATTTATTATTTGGAAGTACAATATTATACGTAACATGGAGAATGGCGTTGGTAGATGATTAAAATGAAGCTATCATCCTGGGGGATGCATGGTTTCTTGGACCGAAGATTACGACATATTTTCAGGATAACAGTCCCACTAGCTACTAACATGAATATCTGTGATGACAGTCTCACTTCAGTGTTATGACTTTGGTGACTCCGAACCTGCGGTTCTCGATAGCAGCGTGCATAGTGACAAAGGGAATACTAAGTGGGGTCCATTAAACTGACAATTCATACTGTATTCTTGACGGAGAGCGTGTCTCAAGTTCATGCTACTGTTACATCTGTTACGTGTTATACCAGTATTGACAATCACCTATTTTTGGCCACCAAAGTGCACTGCGTTCATACAGGGATTGTCTGAGATTATGATGGGTTTCACAGGTGCAACTCTGAATCTAACTTTTCTAATCAGTTAATCATTAAATAGATTCCCTGAAGAGATTTGGTGAATTTCAGATTGAAACGCATAGGCATATGGAGTTACTATATGCTACTACTATCCCTGAGGGGATAGTTAGTGGATATGAGCAAGAGACAAGCTTCCTATGAAATCAATGGGATTACTACAAGTTTTCATTAAACATTTCATCAGTGAAAATACTTTGAGCGGAAAGTATCACAAGTATCAGAGAAAGTGTCACCATCCTCTGACCATTTTGATTCTCGAAGTTCAAAACGAAACCGCAGCAGCAACTCTCTGTTTTCTTGGTGCTGCACTTGAAAACAGCCTGGCACGACTCATGACGTATAGAGTAAGTTGCAATAAAAGTGTGTTCAAGATGACATCTCATTATTGGTTAGTTGGTAGACTTTTTCTGACTGGAGTATGGAATACCGACGATGTGTTTCGGATGTCACTATCCATATACAACTGGAATTTCAGGGGAATGTGGATGTAACAAAAGATATGATAGTGAAAACCATCGAGAAATCAGTGTCAGGACCGCCTAATATGGAAGAAGAATGAGCTGTTTTCAGAAGAGATAGGTGACATAACGAGACACTTATATGTTATATCAATTCCTTCCAATAGCAACAACTTCAATGACACGTAATTTCCATAATTTTAGAAGTCTGGTGATATAAGTCAAATTCTTAATAGCAATTCAATATCATCCGAATAATTTCTAAAGTTAAATCTTTACATAAATTTACTTGTAAGTATTTTCCATTAGGAATAATTGGCATCCTGCATTTCTCTTACTTAATTCGGGTGGAACATAGAAAACGAAAGTCAGCCTTTAAACGGACTCTCACTAGGCTCGTGACATTAGTAAATATGGGTTTAATGGCTTACAATTTAGGGGAAAAATAGTTATTGAATTTTTTGATGAAGATGGAAAAATGAGGAAAATTGGCATTTATGCTTTACTTAAACCCCTTTTCGTCAGTGTATTCACTGATTAAAATTGCCCACCTCCCCACATTTTCCTTACTTTGCTCACGTTCATTCTTTAGATGGGTGGCTTTATCCGAGTCTGATTTCCTACTAGGCAGTGGCTGGTTTGTTAATTTAGAGTTTTGGGATCCCCGTTATCTTCAGTCGTTTGTATATCATAAAATTGTCTTTTGTCTCTCGTAATGCTCTCCCTAACTCGTTTCCTCAGTACTGTGAAAACCATATCGACTCTCTATTTGAACATGCATCTGTTCAATGGTTTATCTTCCACTTAATCATCCTCTCCCCCTTCCACCAGCTTCCGCGTATACTCAGGATAAGATTCCTCGTTCTGCCTATCCTTTCTTCCTACGAAGACAGTACAGGTTTCCTCTAACATCACTTCTGCAGAGTTTCAGTATTCTTCTACACACGTTCCTTCGGTTACGATGATTAAAAGCGAAGGTCATTTTCCTATTGACTTTCATGAAGGTGTCATCTGTCGAGGTGCCGGCTCCATACATTCCTAACCCTTAGATCATGAAGCCGCTATGAGAATAATTGCTGCAACTCAGAATATTATGCCCAAGTACCGGCTCGAAAATATCAGAAGACAGGTTGCCGATTCAAGGATTGTTTATTTATCCACTGACAGTGCACTAGGACTAGAAGGTTATTGCAGCACAAAGTTCGTAAATAAACACTAGTTTAATTAACGCTGGTACTTATGGTCATTTTTCTCCATTCTACTGCCAAATAACGAGTGACTAGACTACGACCACAATTGCTGTTTCCCTTGGGAAGATGAGATCCGTTCGAGTAAACGCGTGTCTCTTCACTCAATGTTCACCAACTTGTATATGTCCATGTGCTTGCGAACACTTCATCTGATCACCATGTGAATAAAGGTGCAGAAATCTCATATATTTTGCTGGATGCGTCTAGACTGATGATTCATTTCCTCCGAAAGCTATTTGCTCCCAGTTGGTTCCAGAAAATTAATGTCCCATCACAGCTTGTAGTTTTTCTGTAAAAGTCCTCTCCTCATGGTCTTCGTTGTTTGTAGGCGTGTAGCATTGTATGACTATGACTTTCCTGCCTTTTTTATCCTACTGCATGAGAACCTGTAGAGATTTTGACGGTATCATGAAAGGCGCTTCCGTAGTGTTTTCCTAGCTGTTGTGCGGGCGGCTGGAGTAGACTGTCGATTACGCAGTTAGCAATTTAGTCAGTCCATCCACATTCCGAATTCTCCCATAGATTTTTAACACTTCTGTGACCTATCTTCTTATCTCTTCCGATGTTTGAGAAGTCTTTTCACCTTCGAAAATTGCGTGGACATTTGGCATCTTCATGCTCACTTTTACTTAAATAGAAAGATGTTTCGGTCAAGGTTCCTTACGAAGACGTTCACCTACTGATGTGTTCAATCCAGATTTCAGAGGGGAATACACTTCTTTTTGACTGCCGTTTGAGGGTTTTGTAATAGTATGGCTGTTTTCCCTATGCTGGGATTGTCAGCTTGACACTCAACCTTTTCACTTAGGAATCTTGGAACAGACTAATGGACTAGATAGTTTTAATACAATTTTGTACATCTTAAAAAATTTGAATTAAGGTCTGTTATTCCAGTGCATCACTGTGGAAGCTAGACTGGGAATCGTAGGTTTAATTTTTTTAATGCTTATTTTAATTTTAGCCGTCGATAGTTAGCTTGGAGACCAACATATCTCAATGTGCTGAATCATTGCTGCGAATTGTGCTAAAGTGCAACTGAAATGTTCGGCAATTAACAAACATCAAATATCCATAATTTGTCGTTAGCAAACAGAATTAATATTACATCTTGTTTTAGCTCGTACCATGGACCATTTAATCTTGAATTATACATATATTGACCTTGTTCCGTCGGCCTAGAATAAGGCACTCACCCGGCGGCTTAAAAGAAACAATGGGGCGTGTAGGTGTTTCTGTCCCAAAGGAGCGTTTCCTGACATGCATCAGCTTCATCTATTTGTTTGCTTTCGCATCCCTGTACATTCAGCTACCTGGTTAGTGCATAACAACTAATTCTAACGTTATAAGGATTATTCAGTGAAAATGGCGTGACTCCTGTGCATACTCAATCCTTAGCTGGTAAGAGTATTTATTGATTTTTATTCAGAGCAGCTCCGCGTGACATTTTAGATGCTGTAAACGATTTGAACGTTCTAAGATTTTCGGAGTTCCTGCGTCTTGATGCCTACCAATGTTTGGAACTTGTCACAGTTGTTGGCACCATCCTGGCCTTCTTTTCAAGCTTCTTCATCGCTTTCCGGACAGCACCGACTTTCTTTGTGCTTTGGGTGCTGTATATGAGTGCTTTAAAGGTTTGAATGCGTTTTTTGCTTTAACCAGTATTAGGTTGGTCAGCCATTTCTATGGTTTCAATGGTAAGGGACACCATCTTTTATAATATCTGTTTAGGGATATTTTACTTTTGGAAGCCGGATTTCTTGCAGTTCTGCTCTCAAGTTTTGGCGCTGTTTTAAGCCTTCCTCGGTCAGTAGCCAGTGACAAGATAGGAATGTGGTTACTGCGTTGGCTGTTATTCCGGCTAATGTTTGCTTCTGGAGTGGTTAAGTTGACTAGTGAGTGTCCTGCATGGTGGGGTCTGAAAGCTCTTCATTGGCATTATCAATCTCAAGTATGTTCATAAATCTCCGTCCGTATTTAAATGTAAACCTTATTTTAGTGTATTCCGACTCCAGTTGCTTGGTACATGCACAGTCTCCCTGGTTGGTTCCATAGTATATGTGTTGCAGCTACATTCATAATCGAAATCCCTATGGCATTTCTGTTTTTTGTGCCTTTTCGTCTTGTTCGTCTTGTGTCATTTTATTCGCAGGTAAGTATTGACTGTAATACAGTTAGTCTTAAATTTAATTTGTAACGTGCATTGACTGATATCAAAGGGTCAAATTCTGTAGAGAAGACCTTTCTAACTAGTTGATTCCCTGCGAATTCACACTGCTGACTGACTGAGTTTCAGCATAAAACTTTGCTTAGAAGCGCAGCAGATCAAGTGACTCCATTCTGTTAAAAAGTAGAGAGAATTCAAAAGAATAGTTACGTGTAAAAATTGAGGATTTGGTGGATATGGAAGATTGCAGTGATTGAGAACAGTTCTGAGCTATACCAACAACAGTCTCCAGCAATCGGTTCTTAGTTTTATGTTTCACTTAAGTTGTTTGCTTGGTAATAAATCACATGACTTGTAAGGCTACGGTAATCACAGATCGAAAGTGATCATGTGTTCACAGGTATGTCACCAAGTATATAGTAATAGTGATCTTTAGAAAGGAACGATGGCGTGATTTTGAAAAGATAAAATCATTTGATAGACCAATTATAAATCCTCATCAGCGTCCCAAGAAACCCGGTCAGACATTGCACACCAACTACTTGGCTCCAAGTAGCAATCGAAAACTTCATGGATTGATTTTATGTTTTAATCTGACCGCCTCTGAATATTATCTGGCCTTATCGAACATCAGCTAACATTTTTGAACGCGGAACGCAGTGGCTGATCATATGTAACACGTGACCTAGTTGTCTCAGTCGATGTAGCTTCACAACTTCATAGAGCGGCTTACTCTTCTAACCTCGCACTCTACGCCTAACCTTAATAATACTCAACCAATTATATCACTGAACACGGGGGACAGAGCGCAAACATCCATGATATTCTCACAATTTCCACTTACTATGCTCATGTTTCGATGCTTCAGAGAAGAACAAATCGAACTGCTATACAGGGCATACGTCTTTTGATAAGTAGACATGACGTCTACGCCGAGCCGTTCTTGTCCCTGTTGAGATATAGTCAGCTGATGTAACTTCCCAAACAAATAAAGTTGTCAACAAGCTCTACCACCTCACTCTACTTTTCAGCTGGGAGTCGATACAGTCCAGTCTTCAACATAGTCTTACATTCACCAGGGGCGAATCACGCGCCAAAACTAAGGTTTCTGCTCAAGGTGTCCGAAAGACTCGGAATTTTAAGAGTAATGTTTTTGAATTACTCCAAGAATACCTCGTCGTCTGCATCTTTGACTTGTGATAGTAAGTCTAGAGACTACAGTAAGACCTGCCTCTAATTCTCAATGTGTAACTGTTGGCGTAAATGATCAGACCTCAAGCCTAAAATTAATTAAATTAGTACCTGTGACGTAACGTCGTGTTCACAGATATATTGGAGAAGCCACTATCTTGTAATTTAGTTTCATACATCGTTTTATTTCAGAAACTTGCCGATTAGCTTCGTTTGTTACAGTAAGGTTCCAGCCTGTCATCCTCAAATTTTATGTAATGACTTAATTAAATAGTTTTTAGTAGATGCTTTATCGTGACTTGTATTCCAACTGATTAATTTTTGTATCTATTGTATTTCAGGTACTTCTCCAAGTTATGATAATTTTAACTGGGAACTACAACTTCTTCAACCTTCTCACCATTGCTTTATGCTATTCGCTGTTAAAGGACGACGATTTTATTCCTCGTAGGTTACCAATGTGAATAAATCATTTTTTTGCCTTACTATTGTTAATTAAATAGTCTTCTGGTAAACTTTGCAAAATTTTGTGATAGCAATATTATATTTAGTAACAATGTCTGTGATTAAGAAAGGTTTTCTTACTTGAATTGGTAAACTTGAAGTGTGTATGCAAAAAGGTATGGTAGTAACCATGATTCTGTCGCGGTAGCGTCTCTGATTTCTGACTTTTTTACGTGATGCGTTTGTCGTTTCTTTTGTTTATTTCATTTGTTAGTGCTCGCATGCTTTCTTATTTTCTTATATGAATTCTGTTTTTCAATCGATAAATGTCCGTTTTCCTCATTGACATACAGGATGCTGTAATTGTACATTAACATTAAGGTCCTCCACATTGCTATTTTTTCCGTTCTAAGTGAGTTTATTTTTTATCTTTTCCACTTTATCACTTCCTATTTATTTCCTCAGTTTTATTCAACTTTATAAATAAATGAGTCCTACACCTGATGTGTTCACTATTTGATTCTGCTATGTGTATTTTTGTACAGCTAAAATAATTTTAAAGCTTTATATGCATATCAGCCCTGAATAATCTTCATATTTTATTAAGATATCTCATTCTCTCTTTGAAAGGGATGTTCTCTGATTCGTATATTTCAATTTCTGTTTTATAGAACGCAGACGGAAATGGACCACCTCTGGACTACTTTCGGGCGCAATTTCTTTGTTTCTAGTGATTTCCATTCTTGGTGTTTCCGCCTATTTGTTCAACTTTTCCATCTCGAACCAAGTAGTAGTCACAAGTTCTATAGGTAAGGCGTCTATTTTAGGATTATTAATTTCTTTTCTTTAAGATCTATCTTTATAAGGACTGTTTGTTATTACGTTTCTATTTTACTGTGTGTTATTCCTCAAGTTATTCTAACAGATTGTTATATCCAGTAGTTTTTGGCGATGTAGTTAAACAGGAATAGTAGCATACGTCTATACTCCATTGTCATGTAGAGACGACGATGGCGATAGTTAATGTTGGAAACTAAATGTAGACGATGGGACCGTTTTATATTCGTTATTTACTATATATAGTAAATGCTGCGCAGTACAATTGCTTTTTGGTACATACGATATGATGCAAGTTAGGAAATCCCAACAGCCTACATACCTACTCTTATGACACTAAAGTGACTCTAGAGTGTATTAGATTAAAGCGTATCTGTTTCCACAAGAGATAACAGAATTAAAGTGCATTTGTTTGTGCATCTGTATGTTGTTTTTGAGCCTTTCTATCTTCTAGCTATAGTTTGCACATTTCCAAGCTTAGTTTAATGCTCTTTTTGGAAAATTGTCGTTTTAAGGCTTAGGTGACTATTATGATGACTTTATAGCTCTAGTTCCACCTTCTTTATGCTTAAATCTCGCGTAAATGTGTTAGTGAGTCCAATCTTCACTCCCTCTAAAGACTTCTTAATCCAAATATGATATCAAGTCAAAATTCCAAAAGATTACTATGAATTTCAGGATGTTTGACTTTTTCACGCACTTATCACTTATTTACATTTAGATGTGTTTTTGAAAGTCACTAAGTTATACTTAATCTTATTAGAAAGTACCATATGCAACCAGTGAGTTGTGGGACTTGATAGGTTGTCTGAAGCTATGTGAAAGCGTCTAGGTAAAATATTAACACATTCCTTGAATTGACGCACTTGTATTCTTAGCTGTCTGGTGTTAAAACACTTAATGTATTGAGATCTGTGTCACGTATTTCTGGTGATTCTCACTGTTTCTTTATTTTTGTTTTTACCAAATTCAGGTTTCACTAAGAAAGAATTCTCGTGGTTCGTAAATACATCTGTGAAGTACAGTATTTATTTTGGGATCGCTTTATTCATTGTGGAAGTTCTGTACAGTGTAGTTGTGTAAGCGTTCTGTGTTTCATTCTGAAAACTTGTTTATTTTTATAAAAATACTGCTTAAGTCCTAAGTTCGATTTTCCATGTAAAGTATACAGTGGATTGTTGCTGGTTCGTAGACTTAATTCTTCCGACTGAAACGTTTTTGTCGCTTTTCACACAGTATTATGAAATAGTTGTCAGGAATTTGTGAACGTAAGCTAAATTTCTCTAGTTACGAAGGTATGCAACGCCCGTATATAAATAGCTGTGCACATCTGTGACTCACAAACCTGAGCACTCTGTTTCCAATTGATGAACTATGGTGCTTAGGTCTGTTCTTATCGATTTCCTATGATGTTTTATTGTGGAGTACATAAGTCTGTAAACATTATTAGGCTGGATATAACTTTAGTAATCATGAGTATGAATAATAGGTTATATAATTGAGTTTATACAACTTGTGCTTCACCCACAACAATAAAATTAAAAACCAAGTTCTACAGTACCAACTAAGTTCTTCCTTTAGAGCTTGTGTTCTAACTTACCTGTATTTCATTCTGAAAGGACTAAGAAGTTTGCTAATTGTACATGTTGTGTAAATTTGTAGTCATACTTAAAGTAGTGTTCTTATGCAGTAAGTATTTGCTGAATCGTATTTTGTTCAGTCTTTATGACAGACAGTGTCATATAATTAAGTATCAGGGTGTTAGTAAGTACACTTTTCAGTAGTGTATTGTAATTAGTTTCATGCTAATGCACTTTTGCACCCCAGCTATTTCCTTTTTGTAAATTTTTGTCTGCATTCCGATGTCGTATCTTATTTCATACCTTTGTCTACTTCATAGGGCTCTAAATGCGCGTCCATTTTGGCGTAAATTATATGAATTGGTTGGTGTTATTTTTGTGGCTGCTATCGGCTTAACTGTGCTAATGGGCAGTTTGGTAAGTGCTACTTTCCGGCATCTATTCACTTGTTTCATTTGAAATGATGAAGGATTACAATTTTACTTAAAATAACTGTACTGAAATTATTAAATACCTAATAAACACTAAGGATTATAGATATAAGGATAAAACTTGGACACTGTGGTGGAGTATAATTTCATTATGGATATGATTTTATTTTGAGAAATCACACAGTGTTGCACAATGATATTAACTGATGACGTTTTGAACACAAATTGTTGCTCATAATCACATCAAGCCACTCACACAACGTTTTGCTTCATTTATATAATTGAGTAAAATTGTATCAAAAACTGCAAGCAGTGCTTGTATACTTGAAGACCGTCTATCTTAGTGACCAATGAGAATGTTAAACGTAACGTAACAGATCACCATTTCACGCTCATATCATTCGCAACATAGTATAAAGAGATTGGAAAATCGATTGAAAATTATAGTTTTCTTATTATTAATGTTAAAAATGCCACCAAACATTTAGTTGATCGTTACTCCAAGTTTCATCGTAGTGTGAAAGTTAGTCGTTCATACTGTACTGCATATGTATATATATTACTGACTGAGATGAGTAGTTGTTTACCACTCAAATCAACCTGTTTCCCCCAAGTAGTAAGTCAAAACTTGGGTTCGGTTCTCTGAGTTGAATCAGTTACATCGCCGATAAGGTCGGCTTCAAATGGGCGAAATGGCCATCCGGTTAGCAGTAGTACTGGTTAATACGAGTGGTATACAACTGCTCATCTCAACCAATCAGCACTATATGGCGTCATGCATGTATGGTTGCTTTGTTGATTACCGTTTATGGTATCAGGCAGATCACATGTTTTGATCTTATTGACTTCAGTTTCCAAGGGAAACTGGTGAAATCTCGCCTCCAAAATGTGTGAATTGCGAATTTGATTTACTGTACTATACTATCTAAATGCATGGTGTGTGTTTCGCACGATCGGGTTGTAAAGTATCTTTGTAAAATTAGAAGTAATCCAAGTCTGTAGATTGCTCTTTTTATGCAAACCGTCAGAAGTAATCAAAAAGTTCGTGTATATGTAGAAGTTTGTAACTACCTTCGGGTGTTACCTATGATCTATGATACAAGCATGATTCATTGTATGGTACATGAATCTGCATGTGGTTGCTAATTCTTTGTGGGTGAATTCATATTTTGCCGACAGTTTTAGTTGCCTATTTAAGGAACGTAATTAGTTATCAGCTTATCTAAAAATGTAGTCGTGTTTGCTTTGTTACCTGTGAATGACTTGTCCACTCTCAACGATTTCTCCAATATGGTTATTTAGGTAATTATTTAAGCAATTATTGATTTACTGACCTGACCAAAGGACATAAGTTGTTCGATGGTAAGCTTGATTTAAAGTTGGCCACTTCATTTTGCAAATGAGTTTTATGAATGACAGAATTCACTGCTATACAGTTTGTATAGTGTCACGTGTTCAAAATTTAATATTTTTGTCAGATTTCACACAAACCATTTTCCTATAACTAGTAATCAGAATCACTTAACTCTCTGTTATTTGCTTTTTAAGGTCCCATTCGCTTCCTTGGACCCTACCATTGAGTTACTGCCCCAAAATCGTCAAATCTATAAGAATTTGAAACCGTATTATATTACAAATGGCTATGGGCTGTTTCGTCGGTTAGTTCTTGTTGTTTTTTTTTATCCTGATTCATAATTTCTCGGTAAATGAAAATCTGTATCAGATAACTGCATCCTGACGATATTTTCTAAATATATGTACTGTTTATTTTTGTCTAAATTTGGTATTTCAGCATGACTGGAGTTGGTGGTCGTCCTGAACTTGTCTTGGAGGCTGCGTCAAGTCCAAACGGTCCGTGGTCTGAGTATGGATTTAATTTCAAGCCTGGTCGTGTGGACAGAATTCCTCCGGTCGTTAGTAAGTCTTAGGATATGTTGTAAAGTCCACCTATTACTGGACATTTTTCATTTCGTAGATTTTGTAAATTTACGTGTTTTTTGTATATTAAATAACATCTGTTTACAAGCTTAGAAATTATTTCTCGTGACGTAGTTTATCGTGAATTGGTAGCAGTAAGCTTAGATTCAGATGTTATTAGTTGATGAGTGTTCCAGCGCTTACTACAGATGTAATCATTCAAATATATATTTTTGGCTTAGCCATGATCTGTCTAGATATTTAATGTATTCATAGTTACTTCTGGTGTTTTTATCTCAAAAATTTAGTCCCTCATCAGCCTCGTTTGGATTGGCAGATGTGGTTTGCTGCACTCACAAATTATCGTAATCATCCATGGTTGATGAATTTAATTTATCGACTACTCAACCAACAACCTGAAGGTGAGTTTTATGCATCCGTTGTTAAGTGATTAATATTACTGTGTTATGATATGAATAGGAGAATTTGTAACTATTTTTCATTCCAATTGTTGATGTGTATGTTTGCCAAGAATGAAACTGTCGTTTCTGTAATTCCTTATATTAGAAGTTTGAGTGTTAGAATGCTTTATCGAAATCATCGCATTCTTATTATACTGTCGATACGACGACCTACTCATACTGATTAGTTCCTATCAGTAATGTTAGTACTTTCAGAAGATGATGATGGGTGAAGCTGTGATAGACCTTTTCGGTTGTTGTTTTTGTTTTCTGAATATGAGATACTCATTTTGATTGTCACTTTTTATGTTTACCCAACACCTAGAAATATGTGGACAAGCGTATGCCAGCTAAGGTAGATTAATTAAATTTCTTAGGTTTTTCAAGCGAACACTGTAATTAATTCTAATTAGTTCATTTCAACCACATGGAACCTAACAGTAAGGAAATCACTAATAAGATGAACAAAATCAGAATAGTTCAATGTTAGCTTTGTGAATTTTACAGTTCACTATTCACTAATTATCGATTTCAAAATAAATTTTCTCGAGGCTTAATGAGTTGTAGCTAGAGTAGTTGACTTAACTTACGTGGGAGCATTCAATCATCGATAACGCTGGGCATCATAGATCGAAAGGATTTAGGAATCATGGGTCATAAGTTTTCATTGAAGAATTCCGAACCAGTAAGGATATGTATCTGTTTAGTGTTCGTCAGTTTTCAGTACTTTTCCAGCTGATAGTGATTCTTGGAAAAATGATCATGATAACTATGACGGGTTAAGTTTGCAAAAGTTCACGGTGTGGTTATCGATTTTGTGATGCGAGCTGTTGTTGGAAGAATCCAGCTTAGAATACTAGCATGTTACACAAGTCGAACAAACAACTTAACATTGTGACTTGGTGTTATGTTTACTCTGACTGCTTTGAAGCTTCCATACTATCTCCCACATCGGGACACCATTAGTTTGACTTTTATGGCAATATTCGTCAGTTGAATTTCGGTTGGTATAGGTTATATTCTTAGTATTCACACGCCTTTTTCAATTAACATCTATGTTCATCTTTATTCAATAATCGTTATTTTTCACTTTATCTTTTTCCCTTAAGTTTTACAATTACTCGATCTGTCCAGTCTACCGAATAATCCAAAATATATTCGAGCTCAATTGTATACCTACCACTTTACCAGTGAAGCTAATAGGTAGGTTACTTTTTCGTAATAATTACGATCTATCAATATGAGTTTAAAATGTTTTCATTTCAATTATTGTTATGACTATTCGTTACTTTTATTGTATCCAGACGTTAACACTGAATTGAGGAAGAATGGTTGTAATTCAGAATGTAAGTGTTCTGGTTGTTTTTCCTGAGATGCAGTTCTTGTTGGTTGATACATTACTTTAAACAGTGATAGATTTTGTGTTTCATAGCTTCTTACTAGAGTCATGTTTTATTGTAATCCTATATACCTTTCAGAGTTGTTTTTAAGTAGAATGGATAGTTGATTTACTCAGTAAGATAAGAATTCCTTTGGAAATTGTGAAGCAAGTAATTCTGTGTACCTGTTTTTAGGAAATTACAGTTTTAGAACAAAGGTGTGTGTGTGGGTTTTGAAGTTCTATTGATATAATCAAGGTTGAATTTCTAAGCCTTTTGATTTAAGCAGTGAGCCAGATTAGCCTTACATCACCTCTGACGTAGTCGTCGTATCCGACTGCCGATCAAAAGAAGTGTTAACTGTTCAGCAGTTCACCCCATCCTTCTCTATGGATGCGAGACCTAGCTGTTGAAAGTGGAAGATCTGATGAAAAGACGGACTGTATTTGACCATGGGTGTTTGCGTTTTAGTGGCATAGTATGTTGAGTGATGTGGAGGTTAGGCATAGAGTGCTAGATAAAGGTGCAAGTCAGTCGATGAAGTTGTGAAACTACACATGCCGGACCATCTCTTTCCTCGTCGAGCTACGTTAGCTGACAGGATAAAGTTACGAAAGGTTTAGGGATTGTGAAATCAAAACATGGCATCAATTCATGAAGTTTTTAATAGTTGGTTTGAGCCAGCCACGTAGGGAGGTGTAGACTGCCTGTTTAGGTTCCTTGCGACACTAAGAACCAATGACTTGTGAATGTTAATGACACGACTTAACTTATAGTACTTATTGGCACACATAAACTCCCAGATCCAATAGATTCTCATTACTCTCCATGGACGTATTCTTCCTTCGGTACATTCTAGTTTCTTTACGTTTCTCTCCTACATTTGTGAGCGTATGAAGTGAGGTAACTTGAATCATCGGGCTTTTGTGTTAAGTTCTACTTTGAAAGTCAGCTAGTGTGGTCATTTTCCAGCTTTGATGCATTTAGATAGGTGTATTCACCCTCTCAAGTCACTAAGGTGTTTACTTTTATTCAGTTATTTTTCTTTCTTAAGTCCTTTTTAGTTTAAGATCACTTCATTGCTGTTTACTTTCTTTTATGTAACAGAGATTCGTGGCAATTTGTTCTTACTTTCTCTTGTACAGTTTTCTACATTCATTCGTCCATTTTGTTAGTTAATAATGTCTTTGAAGAAGGAGAAAGGTCAATATTTCTAAGTAGAAATCTCTGAGACTGTCGTTTGTTCGATTGACAAGTGCAGCTTATTTGGGTGCTGCTATTTTCTGCGCACTGATTGGCCTAATTTCCAAGCATTCGTTGTCCATCTAAGGCAATGTATTTATAGCTAACTTCACAATGAAGTGAGCTGTGGGAATTATCCATCAATGAACTAACTGTGTTTTCCTGGTTGCATTGACTATAATCAGTTGTCTTTAGAGAATGTTGCAACATTATGTACACCCTTATTTATATTGATAGTCTCGTTGATCTTTGGTTTGACATTTAAATCGTGATTTTCACGCTTCTTTCTACTGCTTGTTTATTTATGCATGTGTGTTTTCACAACTTTGTGCGTTTGTGTACCTAAATGTCAGTTTAGTTACAGTGCCTAGTATTGACTTCAACCATATTTCTTCTAAAAATCATTTACTTTTGCCTTTGTTTTTATTGTTTACAGTAAAGACTGGTGGAAACGTGTATCGAAATCTGAATACTTATCCCCTGTTTCATTGTCTTCTGAAGTGTTGCGCACTGCTGTTGAAGAAAGTGGCTTGGTAGGAAAACGTGTAAGTAGTAATTTTTTTTATGCAACTTGTGTGTTTAAGCGTTGATCATCTCTCTAAAACAACTAATGCTAGTTTAGAGAAAAGAACACGTGAATTATATTTTTGATGCTATACTGAATTTTTGTTTTGATGTAACAAATGTGTTATGTGATAGAAATGATTGAATTAGACAGTGATACTTGTTTTTTGTTTGCACTGTTTATTTACATGGTCAGGTGAAAAGTTGTATCACAGCAAAGCATGCATTGAATCGATGTTAAAATATTTTTACAAAAAACTGTTCGTCAGTGCATGTATCATGTATTCTTTTATGCTTAGTTAGTAAATTTTTGATTATATACAAAGTATGATTTAGATAAATTAGTGATTGATTAGTTAACGCATAGTAAATTGTCATTCAAGGATAATATTGTAGGTCGTTAAGCAGCTGTTTAGTTCTCGATAATAAATATGAGGCTAGATTTCTATTCTTTAACACCATTTGTTCTGTGGATTATAGATCCACACATTTAGGACACTGTCTTTGGAATGTGGTAGTAGTGTATAGTGATTCATCCTGGTAACGTGCCTTATTGACTTAAACAATTGTTCTTCAACAAAGAACTGTAAGTTAACTGAGAAGCTAATCTTAAGTGTTTGTATGTGTGTGTGTGTGTTCATATCACACCAGGAATACTGTGCTAGATAATTGAGTTGTACTAAGAGCAAGACGACTGTTGTGGACATGCTTTCGTGGTCTACTTATGGTTTGGTATATTGATTCACTTTCTTCATAATTTAGTACCTAAGGGGTAACTTGTTTCTTCAGGGTGAATGCTCATACATAGCTATAAAGAAAATGCATTTCTAGTAAATGGTAATGAAAGGTAGCTTATTATTTTTTCTCTTCACATAATATATCTGTGACTATGAAGTAATGCATATCAGTATTTGGTGTTTTCGAATCGGTAATCACGTCTCCTTCCAAATATACTTAAGTTATTTAAATACATTAAATGTTACTTGTTAGTTACAAAAAATTGTTTGTCAAATGACGCGTGTACTCATACACACTTATATATTATTTTCAGTACAGAAGGGCATGCCGTCTCAGTATTTTTTTCCCTTCACATTCCCCAGTGGACCACAGGGCTTCAAGCTAGTGGCCTGAAGTTTCTGTAGCAGTGTTTATTTTACAGGATGGGGTTGCTAGCCTCATGCCCAACCTTTCCTCTTCACCAGCTTTATTTCTGGCTTAGCGAGGTAAAGGCGTGCGTCGGCCGGGGGTCGAACCCCGGACCATGTGCATGGTTGGCGAGCGTCCTAATCGCTATGCCACCGACGCACCCGTCTCAGTATAGTTAGCAGAAAAGTCCTCTAAAAGTTTTCATTGAATAAATGCAAGCTCCTTTTCATGTTGCATATTTAGAAGACCATTTCATTTTTGACTGCTGGAATTTTTCACTTGTTCACTGGTTAAATTTTTATCGATTTCAAAAAAAATATTAATTCACGAACCGCACTGCCTCGAACAGCTGTTTTAGTGAAGATGTGTCTTACTGGCTTAAGCTCCCAACTTTCAGACAACAGATCTCTGTTTTTATCTCACTCCACTTACCTCTGCCTGAACAGTTCGGTAATATCAATAACCTTCGCATAGCGGGTGTGGCTCATATCCTAGTAACTGAATTCTAACCAACTGTAAGAACAGCTGTTTCGTCCTATTTCGGAACTCTAGCAGAGATTACCTATCGCCTCACCAGGGATCGAACACCGGATTTTCAGGCTTAATAACCTAAATAGCTGTTGGATTCTAATCCAGTTTCATTTACAGTCTTCAGACTCGACTTGTTGGATCCAATCGGTGACGACTAACGCATTAGACTTGTAGAAAATTTGTCTTAAAGTATGTTACTAATAAATGATGCATTAATATTCAGTCTTTGGATTTCTCACCTTTTTGTACTACTATTTTATCTGTTGATAGCGTCCTCGTCCACAGGATCCAACAATTTTATCAGAATTCCTAACACGACTACGACAGTTCATTGGACAACCACGCGATTTATCACCATTGGTTTTTGTCTGCATAGTGTTGGTGTTAACCAAGCGTGCATTTGAACGAGCTGGTCAATCCACTAGAATGAATTATAACAAGACCTGAGTATTCTGCAGATTCAATTATTCAAGTGATATCTTGATATCAATGATGATAATGCATTGTGATGATAACAACAATTGCTTGTATCATGCAAATATTATTTTCAGTGCTTATTGCGTATATTTATTAATCCGTCTTTTTGTCGAGTGCACTTCATATCTCACTTTCATACAAATAATTTTCCTTAGTTATTTCATGTTAGAAGTGAATTCTGTATGCTACTGTAAAACCTAAGTGAAGTAAAGTTGTTGGAACAATGAACTTAGTGTTGTGTAATGATATCATTGTATTTTCATCTCATTTATTGTGTGTATCATAGCTATTCATGTATGTGCTCCTTTTACTATGACTTACAATTATTCTTACGTATGTAATTGTTGTATTGTTTTTTTCTTCCACGCATCACTAGTCATTCTGATCATTTATCGATCTCATGTATCTTTGACGTCAAAGTAGGTCAAATAGTTTGCATGTAGGCGTTATTTCTCATTAAATATTGCAAAGTCAAATCTAGACTGATTAGATTTCAATTACCCCAGTGCTGGACTATCAGCCATACTTACTGTGTGGGGTCTAATGATAACTACCAAGTTGCCCAGACTGAAGTAGGTGGAGCGCGAGACTCCAACCCCGTGGCCCATCGACTGAAAGTCGAGTGCTTAAGTCAATGCGCCAAAATCTAAGTAGGTCACAAATATACTATCTCCAGCAAGATAATCCATACAACTATCTGTCAGGTCCTAGATATCGATAAAAATGTAAACCTATCGCTTAATGGTATAAATAAGTGACTTCTAGTGTACTGATTGCGACTACCGCTTCTCGGCTTGCTGCTCTAAAAACAAACAGGTATAGATTGATGTAAAAGAATTAAGTGTGTCGTTCGAATTCATTATGTAGGTCACTTCTGCGGGGTATAGCCAGGAAGTTAAATAAGCGATTATAAAGCACATTATATCAAGACTATTTCTCTTAGTTTTTAACTATTTTCAACTGTCGTTATTCCACTTGTCTCATTGCAACTTGAATGATTCAAATGAGTGCCAGGTTTCCACTACCAGTTTGTTTGGATACGAGGCGTTTGGCACACTTCGAGGATCTGTTTCAAGTTGACTTTGGCTGATTCACGCTCTTCTATTTATTAATATTCCCGGAATGTTTGAAGAAATTTGAGTGTTATAGTTTATACACCTCGCTTATTACTTGCAATGAGTACGTAATAGTGTAACAACAGAAGGCAAGACACGGGAGCCAAGGGATATTTTCCATTGATCAAACTGCTGTTTATATATATATATATATATATATATATATACATATGTATGGTCTGAATCAGAAAACTATTCCAAGCATCGCTATCATCTCCAAGCATACCTTAACAACATTTTGGTATTTGTTAAACAACAATTACTTGCATCTTAGTTCTGATGTTTATTTTTTGCATAATATCATGTTCAAAGATATCATCACTTAGAAGATTTATCTGCGAAGGGGTGAATGTTTTAAATTATGGTTAAATACTGTCATTGTGGAACTCTCCATAGACATTCCGCACTACTGCATATTCGAAGGTGATATAATGATAAAAACTAAGAGAGTGTAAAGTTTTATATTATAGAGCGTAATTATTGTTCTGCTATTAGTCGTTCTTAGTTATAACGCTTAAAGTTTCTGATATTTCCCTTCAGCTGGCTCATATTAACAATGAAAGACCGAATGATAATAGTAATGGCTGTATTCTAAACAGTACGTTGGACACATTGTTGAATGTAATGCGTTATCCGACTATCGACCAAAGGGCGTGTGTACTGCTCAACAGTCCGCTCCGTCCTCCTTTATGGCTGTGAGACCTGGCCATTGAGAGCAGAAGACATGAAAAGATTAGCTGTCTTCGATCATAGGTGTCTGCGTTCTATCTCCCGCGCGAAGTGGTATAATAAGGTGAGCAATATTGAGGTTAGGCGTCGAGTGCTAGGTAAGGCGGGGAAATCAATCGACGAAACGGTGAAATTACTTCGACTGAGATGGTTAGGACATGTGCTACGTATGCCTAGTGATCGCCTTCCTCGACGGGCAATGTTAGCTGATATAGGGCCAGGCTGGAAAAGAGCTAGCGGCGGTCAAACGAAAACATGGCACCAATCAATGAAATCTACAACAGTTAATCTAAGCCACGTAGGAAGATGTAGACTTCCTGGTTGGGGTCCTCGGGACGGTAAAACCAATGGTTGGAAACAATTGGTGACATGGCTCAAAGTCGTTCTCAGTGGCGCAGATGCATCCACTCCTTGTGACTTATGATTTCCAATTAAACTGTTTTGTTCTCCGCTATTACTATTCCTTTGTCTCACACCTCTGTTTACTGTTTCCATTATGCATTTCTTCTACTTCCTTCTCTTGCTTTGCGTGCTACATAGATTGTGGCGACTTGAACTGCCGCACATATGTGCAAAGTTCTATGTCGAAAACCGACCGACCGACCGTAATGCGTTATTGCAACTAATTTCCTTTGTACATAGTAAAAGGGAGAATTCAAAACAGTCCCTTTTATAAATTTTTATAGCATTATTAGAAGACGGAGATTATCTGAAAAATGTGATGTATTTGCGCTATACATTTCGAACAATCTGATCACACATTTACTTGTCAAGTCAATATATATGGAAAAGTTAAATTAAACAAAGTGACAAAAAAAAGAATTAAGAATAATTAACACAAACGTTTGGTAATCCAATCAAATAAGGATTACCAAGGTAGGTTAAGAGTAATAACAAACTGTTTTTGAATTTACAAAAAGGTTTTCATCAAATTACCATATAATGGGGAGATAAACAGTAGGATTTTGAGACAAAGGTTGAATTCGATCATCCGTAGAACCTACTATGCAGCCCAGCTTGTAATTGTGGAAAAAGCTAAAAATTTGCTTCACTGCAAACCTCAAAAGTGCACAAGCGATTATATCACATCCCACACAATTTACCAATTTTCGTGTGTGTGTGTGGACATACATACATAGGGAGGAGTAATCGCGCGTTGCACGTGAGGGTGTGAGAGCATATCCCAAAATGGTTAGAAAAACAGATGAATTGTGACAAGCCAATAGATGCAGGTGTCAGACTACCAACTACGTCTATTGCTAAACACCTAATCGAGATGAACCATAAGGTTGATGTTAACTCAGCCTTTAAGGTCACCTATAAAACCGGTCAAGGACGTTTACTGAAATACGCTGAGGCTATACCTATTCATAAACTTAAGCCCCCCTTATGTATTCAAAAACAGTTTATTATTACTCTTAACCTACCTTGGTAATCCTTATTTGATTGGATTACCAAACGTTTGTGTTAATTATTCTTAATTCTTTTTTTTGTCACTTTGTTTAATTTAACTTTTCCATATATATTGACTTGACAAGTAAATGTGTGATCAGATTGTTCGAAATGTATAGCGCAAATACATCACATTTTTCAGATAATCTCCGTCTTCTAATAATCAAAAAGGGAGAATAATTAACAGGACATTTATATTTTTATTGACATTATCAATGTAAATGTATAATTAGGGATTAATAGAAATAGTGACAACAGGATATTAATGATTGAAAGGAGTTAAGTGGCTGTTTACTTTGCAGTAAGTTAGTAGTTTCGTACCTTACACTTCTCATCACACTAAACGCGTGCCAAATAAGGCCTCATGGAGTTTCTTTACTTCGTCGTTCGAGCGTATAATCTCTAGTAATTGCTTCTAGCCCTGCCTGATGAGAAAGTTGTGTATAAAAGGGAGGCTCAGAGTGCGACAAGATATTTATCTGTCCTTAGCAGTAATAACGAAGTGGTTTTTCGACATTAGACTCGTCCTACCGACAGCTTGTAGCTCTGTTAGCAATGCAACAGAATCCTCAAACACCTTAGTGAAGATTAAGGCGGAGCAATAAAGAAAAATAGGTTGAATACAAGAACTGTAAAGTAGAGACTGAGTGATACCAGATTGTATTTTGATTTGGCCACACGATAACCGAAACAAGACCGAGAACTTCGGTCCAATCAATCGACGGGAAAATCTAAAATTGAATTGAGTAATTATTATGACCCGTTGCACAAGAGGTGGTCCAGTAGATAACGCTTTGGCGTTTGAAGGCACTGGGTTCGAGCCTCGGTGGGGACATCATCACTCACTGCGGAATGCAAGTGCATCCTGATGACGAGTCCCGAATAGAACGAAATGCATATCTTAATCACCTTCCACCAATTAATTAAGAATAATTAAAGCTAATAATTATAGCCAAAGAAGTACCAATCAGAAGACTTGAACTCTGTTCAGAAGTATGTCCGACCACTGTATTTACTTTCGCCTACAATAAAATCAACACATCGCCTTTCATCTTTCTATTTTATTAAGTTCTTCATTAGGTGATAATCGGTTACTGATAGTATATCTGCGTTTACACGACACTGTCGTTATTATTTCATTGTTGTATTACCCCTTGAACTTATTACATCTAGCGTGTCCCATGTTTGTTTATTTCTATGTAGTATTCGCACTGTCTGTCGTACCGCTGACTATAACTTACTCCTTGGTGATTATAAATACATAAGCATGTCATCAGATTATTTAATTTCATATTATCGCATGCTCTTCACTGACTATTACTCCAGCTTGTATTACGATACGCTTTCTGATATAATTCTGATTCACTTTTACTGATGGTTGTACGCTAAAACTAATGAATTCATAACTGTACACACTGAAGAATATAATGGAATAATATTGTTCCCTCCAAATGTTCTTTTTCTGAATAAATTGTGTAAATATTCAAATCACTGACATAATCAGCAAAGTATTCACTATGGGTTTAACATAATAAATCAGTGGGAAGAACTAACTGGTCTCATTCGCCTAGAAACAGCATCTTTTTGGTTTCAACTGCTCAGAAAGACAGTTAGTTTCCCATTATTTTACAGACATCACGTATCCAGCGAATTGAACTACTGTGTAATTTTGTCACTTACTGAATAAAACTCAACCCAACAATGATTTATCCTGTGATTAGATACCCTATTTACCTGAAGT